TTTTTTATTAGGTCATGCCAGATACCAGTTTCAAGTCCTGCTTTTAGTTTTAAGATCTCTTCGTCTGATTTCGATGATTGTTGAATTTCCTTGATTGATTCAGCAATTGTCCGGGAGTACTCAATGATTTGATTAACCTGATCATAGTTTTCAAAAGGCAGACTTGTACCGGCTTGACATAGTCGAGATAATGGATCAGCGATATTATTTTTTCCTGGACGATAGACTATTTATACCTGAATAACTGTAGGCGTAGAACCCAACGTTGAATACGTGCACATGGCCGAGATCTCTTGCCAAAAATCACTTCCAAGGGTTTATGATGTGTTATTAACTCAAATTCATCTTTACCGTATAAGCATACAGCAAAGTGCTCTACAGCCCATACCAAGGATAGAGCTCCTTTTTCTGTTTACAATAGCGTTTTTCACAGTCGGTGAGGCTTTTATTGTCACTGAATTTGGACAGCTCCTAGCGTCGGCAAATACTTGAGTTTTGTCGTTTGGGTTACCTACTCTCTAAAAATGAATTAGTCAAAAAGGACTAATTTAATAGTTATTAGTGGCTGCTTTTTCACTTGTACCATGGTTAACCATAGAATACCATGGTATCCCAAATTTTAACAACCAATTCTTATGTAAAATTATCCCCTGATTCCGAGAATACCGTCAAATATTATTAAAGTGGAGCAGTTTTTGAGATATAGTCAATTCCATATTAAATGGAAAATTGACTATATCTCAAAAACTGATATACCTTTCTGATTCAGGGAACAATTTTACATAAGAATTGGCTGTTAAATTTTGACAAACAAAATATTTAGTGGTTCCTTAGATCCATAGCCAAACAGTATTTTATTTGGTTTTTTACAGTGACTTCAGATTTTTTTAGGAATTGTCTGGTTGATTCGGATATGATATTGAATTCAGTACCAGATTCAATTAACATCTTTATGTTTACTCCTACTACTTTGCATTCGATTACCTTATCGCTGTCAATGTGGAAAACGTACTCGAAGTCCTTCGTTTCAGAGATACAGTCCACTTCCGTTGTAGATCTAGACTTAAACCGTTTATTAGTAGTATTGGTGTTTTTCGCTGGTTGGAATCTTCGTTTGGATAAACAACATCGCATATATTGTCCCTTGAAATTGCATTTCCCACTATTTCATCTTTAGCCGGGCAATTGTGATTTTTATGTCTCCAATCCACATCTTGTACACTTTTTTCCTAATTTGTTCCTGAATCCTGGTTCTTTCGAGTAAACGGCATTAACCATTGGTGGAAAGCTCGTGGATGGTTGGTTAAATTCGGAAAGTTGTATTTCTATCGTTTCAAAGGAATTTGCTTCTTGACTTTGGTGGTTAAGGTAACTGGGTTGCCAGTATTTTTTCCCTTAATTTCACTAATGAGCACTTTTCTGAAATTTGGTCGATTAGTTGTTCATCTAGATCTTTGAACTGGCACTTTTCGGCTTGACGTCTTAACCGTACTACGAATTTCTCGAATTTTTCGTCATTCTCTTGTTTTATAAGTCTAAATAAATGCTGGGGTGAAAAGGAGTCGTCTAGTTTTTTAGTGCAATAGCATATGTTGTTTCCAAAATCATCAGGCCCAGTTACGTTAGCTCCAGGTAAGTTATAGAATATTTATTGGAGTGCTAATCCACCAAAGTGTAAGAGTGTCCCTTTCCTTTTTGCTTAATCCTCCATGCCAGCTGCGTCTAGATATATTTCTAGAGCTCATTTCCATTTTTGCCATCTCAGTCCTACTAAGCTTACATCGCCCACTCAGTCAAAGTGATCTATTGGGGGATACTCGTCATCATCTGAAAATGATTGATTAAATTTCTTTTCTTCGATATTCTTGATTATCGTAAAAGGGAATTCCACCTAATAACATTTTGTATCTTATTTTAATAAATATTTTATTTATTTCATGAACAGGTAATTTAGCCTTAACGTCATTTGTCATTTAACAGGTGACTTTCACCTTAAGGCAATTTGACGTTTTAACAGGTGACTTCTACCTAGGAGATTTCCTGTTGAAATTTTTATCTCAGCGGAATTTTCTATCAAAATCACAATGTAAAATTTGTACTTCTGGTTCTAATTCTCTTCTACAATATTTTTTGCTATTTCCATACTTTCTTGTTAATCACAATTGATTGATTGTTACTTTTCCCCCATTTATAATTTATTGTTATGTATTTATGTAGTATAACTTAACCTCGTCGCCAATTTTTAGTGTTTATTTTTTTGCTTTAAAAATACAGTTTATCAAGATCTACACTTTAAAACAAATCCGGTTAAAATCGCACAATCGGGAATACTTAAATGGCGTATTTTTTCTGTAAATGTTACTTTAAAAAAATAATAGACTTTGATTTAATAGATTTAGTAACAGGTGAAGCAAAACAAAAAGTGGTCCCAAGTTCTTGATTTATTGGTATTTAATGGTACTTACACGTTTTTTATTTAATGCTATTTAATAGTACACATTTAATTTTTAAATGTTCAAATAATACATTGAAATCTTAATAGCCTGTCTACTCTAGAAAATTTTCTTAATCGTAAATTTATTATTTTCCAACTGTCAAACCACAGAAGTTCTATGACAGAACACTAAACATACATTATTCTGATCTTCAGGGAATTACAGAACAACATTTATCGGTTGCACCGTGCAACTTGCGCGCTTCTCTAATTTGATATCACAAATATTTAATAGAGGCCACAGGTAAAAATTGACATAAATTCTGTATCATAACGCAAGCTTCTTTATTTTTAATCGGATACGCTTCTACGTATTTTGATAGATCGCATTAAATTGTGAGGATATATTTGTTAAATTTGTTGGACCCATTAAATATTTTTTAAAATACTACTGATGCTGTTATTTTAAATTAAATCCTTAACTTTGACCTTTAATTAAAAAGTGATTTAGTGGATTTGTTCAACGTTTTTTGTATATTCTTGTAGAGCTCTGAGACATCTACCAGAGAACATTGAATTTAAGTGAAAATATTTATTTTTTTAAATTAAAAAACATAAATGATTACTTTTTAATATAGGTAATGCCATAACACAGTAGTAACATCAAAAAGACACAAGAAATCGCCGGTACACGTAAACTTAATTATTGGGCGTAGAATCCAGTGGTGTAATCAGTTTTTTAAAGTTAGCTCGTTTTCTTAAGATATTTAATGTTTAAATTTTTGTAACTTTTTGTAACTTTTTGGTTTATTATTTGTGTACATTTTGAGAAATACCAAAAAGACACAAAAAAACACCGGGACATGTAAACCTAATTTTTGGGTGTAGAATTCAGTGGTGTAATCAGTTTTTTTAAATTATCTATATTATAGATATATAGCAAAATAACAAATAAAAAAATATTTAAACACAAAATTTCAAATATCTTGAGAAAGCGACCTAATTTTAAAAAACTGATTACACCACTGAATTCTACACCCAAAAATTAGGTTTACATGTCCCGGCGTTTTTTGTGTCTTTTTGGTATAGATTCTATATATATATATATATATATATATATATTAAGTGCTTAAGTTCTTCTTAATATATAACTGCTTTATTACTGGACAATTTGTTTATAATGTTTGGTACTTGTTGGTTATTATTATATTTAATACATTTTTAAAATCAACAATATGTTTTTGTTGTAAAAATGTTTAATAATTATATTTTGTGTAATAAAGTGGAACAAATGTAATACACAGGGTGTTGGGGAATAAATAGTGAAAAATCATGGGGTGGTAGGCCACGCAGAGTCAAGCATATTTGGTCTTGGGAACATGTGTCCTAAAACGCCCTCCTACTGAGCTACAGGCGTCAAAAATTGCGAATTGAACATTGAATGTAACTATGGTAAATTTGAAAGGTTAGGTACCTAACCTGAATTCTACTGTCAGTGACAGATACCTAACCTTAATTATACTTAAAGTGGCAGATACCTAACCTTAATTCTACTGAAAGTAACAGATATCTAACCTCAATTCTACTGAAAGTGACAGATACCTAACCTTAAATCTACTTAATTCATCAAAACCATAGTTACAACAAAGGTTACAATGTAACGGTTAAATCCCCTTGATTTTTTACCATTTATTCTTTAACATCCTTTATACCCATCACTACAACTATTTTAAGGAAAATTCTTTCCATGCACTTTTGGACCATATTGTACTTCTAGTTATTATGTTTTTAATAAATTTATGTATAAATACGTATTATTATAACCAATTGTACTGCCATACAATTATTACCATTAAGGTGCAATTTCATGCTGACGCTCGTTTTTCAGCGTCAGATCAGTCACGTGGTCAACTCACGTGAATGTTAGCGTCAAAAGTAAAGAAACAGAAAGCTAAAACGAATTTACCTTCTTTGCTTTGAGGTAGGTAGAGTGAAATTTGTACTTATAATATATATAATTACACTGTGATACTTGAATTTTGGAGCAGAGGGCGGACCTACCCAGTTTACCTAATTTTGGGATGCTGAATCCAGTGGTGTCATCAGTTTTTAAAAGTTAGCTAAATTTTTCGAGATATTTCAACAAAGTACATAAAATAGCATTTTTTATCATTTATTTCTAACAATATTATGTTTGCTGAAACTTCTTTAGATATCTACTGTAATATTAAAAAAATATTGTTAAAACGCTATTTCGCACAAAATTACTACAACTTACCCTGCAATTTTTTAGAATTATTTTGATCAAAAATGAGATTTTTAATATTAAAGTTTTGAAAATTAATTGGAGAATGTTATTTTCATGGCACTTTTAATTTGCATACATACAATTTTATTAAAAAATTATAATTTTTGTATATTTGTTTATTTAAATTATAAAATATTAGAATTTAAATTAATTAATTTAAATGTAAGCGCGAGTCTATCACCAAAAAGATTATTCTTCCTGAAGGTACCACTTCCAACAAATATCACCTAATAACGAATTCAACATTTTTCCACTGTATCAATATTCAAGATTAGCAGCTATTGGGTGAAAACGTTCGCCGTGTTCATCAGATTCGCATGGAGACTGCTCCGCAAACTTATCAATGTGGCAATGAAGAAAATGCACTTTTAAAGACATGCTAACATTGATTTTGTGAAAAGCATGAATCATTTCTTCAATAAGTACACTCCAATTTTCTGCTCTGTGAATACCAAGAACGTTTTGTATTACTGCTTTTACACAGTTACAATCGACGCTTTTATTCTGACTGAGGGCATTTTTGAAATCATCATCATTTATTAAACGTCGAATATCTGGACCATTCAGCATTCCTGTAACAATAAAGTAAAATACATTTTTAACAGCAAATAAAAATAATGTCTCCTCACCTTCTTTTATTTTCATTGCACTTAATCGTGGAAAAATTCGATTTAATTGAGCAAAACCATATATTTCACCATTTCAATGATTTTTTTCATTTACAAATATGTTTCCTTTATGTTGCTGTTGAGTGCGATTGGAACCGGGTTCTTAGAATTGGTTTCATGAAGAAGAACTGCTTTTAGACTTCTTCGTGTACCCGGTCTGCATCCCTCTTAATAAAGTAACAACTTTTAAGTCGGCACAAATTTTCCATCCATGTTCCCTATATTTTACCATTTCAATGATTTTTTTCATTGACAAATATATATGTTTCCTTTGTTATGCTGCTGAGTGCGATTGGAACCGGGTTCTTAGAATTGGTTTCATGAAGAAGAACTGCTTTTAGACTTTTTTTCGAAGCATCAATAAACAAACGCTATTTTTCAGCATTATATTCATTATGCATAGTCAACATCAACCCTTGTATATCATGGCAATAGGCAAATGAGTTGTTTTCAATGGTTGTAAAAAATCTTGTGAAATCACGTTGGCGACCTCGAGCTGCATATACCCAGTTGCTAGCAGATTTTTTTCTTTAAGATCCTGAGCAAGAATGATCGATTTTCTTTGAGACAAATTTAATCGCCTTGTCAAACTATCAAAAGTATTCTGCGTGTACTGAACGTGATGGCAGGGATCTGTTACATTGGATAGTTCATAGGGCGAAAGCATCGATTCGGGAGCTGCTTCAATGGGTTCACTTGTAACAACTGATTCTGCTAAAGAGCCAGGATTGTTTGTTGGAATAGGTATTGGAATTGTATCTGAATGTGGCAGTGGGAGTTGAGCCCATGTGGTGTTTTTTAATTTGTTGACGCACGCATAACAATCTGGAGCAAAATGTATAACCGGATTGGTCCAAATCATTGGTACACCAAACCGCATAGAGACTCTCTTACAGTTTTTCCACTCTGTGAATCGAGCGGTATACGATGAACAAACAATTGTTGGTGCCCATTTTACATTATGATGTATAGGTAGATTGAAATAATCACCAAATATCGTTTCAACTGTGGTAGTAATAGTGCGCCGGCTTTTCTCAGTGGTAAATTTGCCACACACATAGCAAAAACAATCAAATTTGTTTATATATTCACCAATTTTAAAGAATAAAAAAGGCGACAAAAAATTTATGAAACACACCGAAACTCCAGTTAACTAAATAAACTAAACCTAGCCGTTGAAATTTGCAATATGTAAACATTAAGCATTGAATCGACTCGGATCGGTCGGCACGTTTTTCTATGCAAAAAATTAAACGTACATTTTTAACCATCTGTAAAAAATGGACAAGCAAATTTTAAAGACAATTACATATCATGTGGTATTCAAACGATCATTAAATATTCTTCAATAAATCAATAATAAATATTCTCCAAGTAATCTATAATAAATAGTCTAAAATTAATATATAATTTAAAAAAAACTCAAAATTTAAAACAAAAAGGATATTTTTTTTTTTCAAAAAAAGCTATCAAATTGGTAATATTTATAAAAAATAACCTTTTTTGAACTACAATAGAGATCCGATGATATTTGTACCCAATATATTATAATAAATAATAAAATTCGAATTAAATTTTCGATATTTTGTTTTTAAAATATCTCGAAACTTGAGCTAACTTTTAAAAACTAATAGCACCACTAGACTCAGCATACCAAAATTAAGTAAGAACCATAGGTCTTCCCTCTGCTCCAAAAAAAAAAGTTTTAAGAACTATCACAGTGTTATTTATATAATTGGTGTAAAATGAATACAATATTAAAACTTTATTGTAATATAAATACTGTACCTCAGAGCCAAACTCCACTTTTTTTTTAAATCATAGTAAATACATAAACATCAACATATTATTTTGATACTAATGTAAATGCTTTTTTTAAATAATATTTTTTAAGGATTTTGTAAGATTAGTAAAAAAGTAAAATATTTTGCTAAAAACAATATTAATTTTCATTTTATTATACTTACTTAACATAATAATTTTGATAATAATTAATTATTAAAATAAAAGTTTATTAATTAATGTAAAGTTAATTCAATTCAAGGATCTTTGCTTTTGCAGACTGATGTTGTCAGTCGCCGAATGTTGACGCTTGATACTATTATCGTCAAAGATTATTGATGCTACATTTAAATTTAATTTTAGATCACGGACTGTTTTGACACTAAAAAACTAGCTTCCAACGTTAACATGAAATGAAGACTTTATAGTACCTTTGTTTGGCATATTTGAAAGGCTGTTTGGTATACAGTTTGTAAAGCTTAAGGTTTCAGTTAGCATTAATAAACCAGATGAAAAGATAAACTAAGCATCTTAATTTTCAACTTATTGGGGCTTTCCTGGTCATATTTTGTCTATACTTGACTACAGTTAAAGCTAGACAGTCTGTATAAAATAGGTACTTTTTAATATTTGTACTATATAAATAAATTAATTAAATCTAAATCAAAATGTTTTCATTTATTTTTAATTACATTTTGAGAAAAGGTATGCTTTTTAATGCACCGTCAAAATCAGACAATAGCAGATAAATCCAGTTTTGTTAAAAACTGAGTTAAATATGAACCAACAGTAAATGAATAAAGATTAATCCATTGGTAAACTCAGAATTGAGCCAAACCAGTAATTTATATATAATACCGCTCTCGAAACCTAGTAAATCAAGCAAAAGCAGATAAATCCAAATTAATACAATTTAAATTCTTGTTTCAATGAAAATAAGATAAATTTAAGATAGCAAAATGTAGTCACGATGCGCGTGTTACGGACGCCGACCCTGCATCCAGTACAGCGACCTGATACTCTTAAAGGAAATACCTACATCCGTTTAGATATATAAATCCATGTTGTTCACTTTTCGATTTCTACTAAATAAGCAACTTGTACTTTTCCTGTCTTTATAAAATCCATTTTTGTAATTAGTGTTGATTAGATCGTCAAAGCAATAAGTTGTTAATCTTTCTTCAATAAATATTTTATTGTTCATAAAAACTTGTGTTTTTATCCAACATCTTTAACTGGCGCTGCGAACAGGATTGCCAAAACGTAAATTCACGGTTCGTTCTACGATTTATTTGGGAATCCGGACCAAGAAAGAAGAAAGTCAACCGCAAGAAAAATCAAGAAGCTTGTCGACAGAAAGACCTGATCGGACCAAATTCTTCATCGAAGTCAATTTTTGGACATTCTTCCCCGAATTTGCTGCCAAGTCTGCTGTTTCAATATTATGTGGTATTCCCTCAATTTCCTTCCGTAAGTACCTCTTGATTTCTGCTTGTTCAAAATCAATCACACTCAATAAATTAAATTTTTTAATAATTTTAGGAGTATATTTAAATTCAAGCATATTAGTTAATAATTTATATGTACATTGCATACATTTCATTATTATTTATTAATTTAAGTATACGCTGCATATTTTATTAAACCTTATCGCGTAAATTAAATGTCATTAAATGAAATTCATTTAAGTGATCTGGACGAAAACGAATTGCAAACCATTCGAGACTTATTTTTTCGAAACCGCGAAAATTCCGATTCAGATTTGGATCACTCTGTTCATAGTTTAAATAATCACTTTCGTACAAATATTACCATGGCCGCTGCTATGATGAATGACGAACTTAAATTGTTTTGTAAAACGATACCTGAGTACAGTCATGAGCACGGTAATCTGAACAAATTCATTCATGATGTTGATAAGATAGTATCGCTTTTCTCAGGAACATTTACAATTACAAATTCTCAACACCTGTTATTTAACTTATATATTGTTGGTAAAATTAAAGGACTTCCTAAAGACTATATAACTTCTAATAATTTTGATGCGTTTGTTCCTGGTAATTTCAATACTTGGGTAACTATTCAGAACGAATTGCTTACAAAATTTGGTGAAATTCGATCGGAGGCAACTCTCGAGAGAATTTTATGTAGTTCAACTCAAAAACCAAATGAATCTTTCATAGACTTCCATCTTCGCATAAATTTAAAATTAAATGAACTTCTTCAGTTAACTCGATTAAAAAATCATAATCAGCTAGCCATACTTGAAGCCCAAAAACAAATATATACGGACAAGGCATTAATGACGTTTAAAACCGGCATTAATCAACCATATAGAGACCTTTTATGTTCGACATCCCCCAACACAATGGAGGAATGTGTAAAACGCTGTTCTGATTACGATAATTTGATGGCACATAGAAAAAGTTTAAGTTACCAATCACAAAATTCTCAATCTCAAAATGTTAATCATAATTCTAACCGTTTGCAAAATTTTAGAAATAGTCCCGCAAAATCATAATCATATCCCAAATTTGACACCAAATTTTAATTCGTTCTCTAATCATTCGCAAGTATATCCGCGACAACAAAATTCTGAGAATAGACCAGGTTTTTCAGCTAATGTAAACAATCCTCGAAGACAACATTCACAAATTTTTAACAATTCACAACGTCATCAAAACATTTACCCCCAACCAATGTCTACTTCCACAATTCAATCTAATAATTCACGCCGACAGCAAAATTCTTATCCCGAGCCAATGTCAACAACCACTATTCAATCTAATAAGCGACAATACAATCATCATAATTTGGAATTTGGATTGTGAACAATCGAATTTAGAAAATTCTGCAAATTATTATGACGACACATATGTTGACCAATCTCATGACGATTTTCAAACATCTGACTACGATTCACAGTCTCAAAATTTTTACATGGAGAGCCATCTGCAATTCCCGAGATAGATTTAAACAACCTGGCAAATTTACCCCGACTACCATATTTCGACATACCTGATTTAAAATTACGTGTTTTAATTGATACTGGAGCAACGGATTCAATTATAACCTCTCAAGCTGCCGCAAAATTTTCCGAACAATATTTTTTTGAAGAAGCGTTTACTATTCGAGCTCTAACCAAAACCTACTCCGATAATCTTAATTTACGTTACCCCATTCTACAACATTTTGGCATAAAGTTTCCTATAAATTTTCGTGTAATAGATTGGCATTCTCAATATGATGCCCTTTTATTATCCCATGATTTACAACAGTTTAAAAGTAATATAGACTATCGAACACTGACTATCGGTCCAATTTCAATTAAATTTAAATATTTCAATTCCACAATAACAAAAATACCAGTATCCATTTCTGACGGTGATGTTTTACTCCCCTCAATACTCAATAAAAGTCACGAAATTGTTATTCCACAATCAATCCATACCGTTTCCAACGGCTACGTATCAGTCCCTCATATTGATGTAAATTTTCTTAATATCATCCCTGTTCAACCCCTAGATAATTTTGAAATCACTATTCCCAAAAGAAAAACGTAAATACTTTAAGACTTGACCACCTAAACTCTGAAGAAAAAGAAAAATTTTTAAAACTATGTAAAGATTTTTCGGGAATATTTTATAATGAAAACCAATTACTTTCGGCCACTATGACAGTCAAACATAATATTCCCACGACAGATGACATACCGGTTTACTCTAGATCTTTCAGACATCCCCCGGTAATGCAAAAGGAAATTTCTTTTCAAATCCAAAAACTCCTCGATAATGAAATAATTCGACCTTCTGTATCACCATACTCCAGTCCAGTTTGGATTGTCCCCAAAAAATTGGATGCTTCCGGTACAAAGAAGTATAGATTGGTAATAGACTATCGAACTCTAAATTCAAAAACGACAGAAGACAAATATCCCTTACCTCGAATAGATGAAATTCTTGACAACTTGGGTCGATGCACATACTTTTCTTGTCTGGACCTTGCACAAGGTTTTCATCAAATTCCGATGTCTGAAGAATCGATTAGCAAAACTGCTTTCTCCGTGCCAAATGAGTTTTGAGTATCTTCGAATGCCGTTCGGACTCAAAAATGCCCCGGCAACGTTTCAGAGAATGATGGACGAAATTCTAAAATCTCATATTTACAAACGATGTTTTGTATATATGGACGATGTCATCGTCTTCTCTCGATCTCTTCAAGAACATATTAACGACCTTAAATTAATTTTCTCTTGTTTAAAATTCGCAAATTTGAAGATACAAATCGACAAAAGTGGGTTCCTTACTAAAAAAGTTGAATTTTTAGGGCACATTGTAACAGATAAAGGCCTTCAGCCAAATCCAAAAAAAATAGCCGCTATTGTAAATTTCCCCATACCTAAATCTCTTAAGGAAATCAAATCTTTTCTTGGTTTAATAGGCTACTATAGACGTTTAAAAATTGTTTATCCAATTAATAAATGGACAAGAAAAGGAGAAAAAATCAACATTCATGATCCACGTTATATTTCTGCTTTCGAACAGTGCAAGAACCTAATTACCCATTCACCAATCCTACAATATCCCGATTTTAACAAAACATTCACCTTGACAAGTGACGCATCCGATGCCTTTTATTCC